CGTCCCGCCGCTGCCAGCTCCCAGGAAGTCACTGACAGGCGCGCAATGCGCAGGCGCCGCCCTGGACGCCGGAATGGCAGAGCGACCGCCCGGCACCTCAGGCTCACTGCGCAAGCGCGAAACCAATTCGCTCTCCCTCCCTCCCCGCTTCTCATACTGCGCATGCGTATTATCCTCTGCCAGTCCTTTCCTTCCCAATTCCCCATTGCGCCTGCGCTGATGGTCTTCAATGCTGTGTCCGAGCGAGGGGCGTGGCGTGGCGTTCGCCCTTCCCTACCCCCTGGTGGCGGGGCGGGATTCGAAAGCGTGTCCTTGGGAGCTGCTTTTCCCTGGGCTGTCAGCCTCTGTGCGCGCAGCTCCCGGGCAAGACACGTTTGCCAGGACTTAAAAATCTTTAGGGATGGAGACTCCACTAGGGAACCCATTCCAGTGCTTCACCACCCTCCGAGTGAAATAGTTTTTCCTAATAGCCAACCTAGACCTCCCCCCACTGTAATCTGAGACCATTGCTCCTTGTTCTGCCATCCCTCACTTCTAGGAACAGCCTCTCTCCATCCTCTTTGGAACCTCCCTTCAGGAAGTTGAGGGCTGCTATCAAATCCCCCCTCACTCTGCAGACTAAATAAGCCCAAATCGTTGAGCCTTTCCTCATAGGTTATGTGCTCCAGCCCCTTAATCATTTTGGTTACCCTCCGCTGGACCTTCTTCAATGCTTTCTATAGTGGGGGGCCCAAAACTGGATGCCATACTCCAGGGCTGTGTCTAGACTGGCAAGTTTTTCCACAAAAGCAGCTGCTTTTGCGGAAAAACTTTCAGAGGAAGAGGACAATATGCATAACGAGAGGGACCACTTACATCCTATGACACACAATGTTCAGTGCTTGGGCCCTGGAGATGAGCATTATTGGTTTTATTGCCCCTTGGATTTTTACATGCTGCTGGAATCCTAGTTCAGAGAATCGTAGGGCTGGAAGAAACCTCAGGAGGTCATTGAGTCCAGCTCCCTGCCCAAAGCAGGACCAATCCCAACTAAATCAACCCAGCCAGGGCTTTGTCAAGCTGGGACTTAAAAACTGCTAGGGATGGGGATTCTACCACCTCCCTAGGGAACCCATTGCAGTGCTTCACCACCCTCCTAGTGAAAAAGTTTTTCCTAATATCCAACCCTACTGTAACTTGAGACCAGTGCTCCTTGTTCTGCCATCTGTCATTACTAAGAACAGCCTCTCTCCATCCTCTCTGGAACCTCCCTTCAGGAAGTTGAAGGCTGCTATCAAATCCCCCCTCACTCTTGTCTTCTGCACACTAAATAAGCCCAAATCCCTCAGCCTTCCCTCATAGGTCATGTGCTCCAGTCCCCTAATCATTTTGGCTGCCCTCCACTTGGACCCTTTCCAATGCGTCCACATCCTTTCTATAGTGGGGTGCCCAAAACTGGATGCAGTACTGCAGATGTGGCCCTACCAGTGCTGAATAAAGGGGAATGATAACTTCTCTAGATCTGCTGGAAATGCTCCTCCTAATGCACCCTAATATGCCATTAGCCTTCTGGCCTACCAGGGCACACTGTTGACTCATATCCAGCTTCTCACCCACCGTAATCCCCAGGTCCTTTTCTGCTGAACTCCAGAAAACTGGAAATGTTCAGAAATCATGAGATTATGTAAAAATGGGTTTTCATTTGCTTTTTGAGCCTTTAGGGTGCATGGGGATCATACTTTGAAAATTTCTCCACAACCATAAGGGCTAGACACTCATTTTTCCTTTGAGAATAAAGGCTGAAAACATCGCATCTTTGTTTGACTGTACGAGCTGGGGCTTTAAGGCAAACAATAATTATTATGAGACTCATGACAAAATAATGAGCGTTGGCAACACTGCAGACGGTTTCTGCCCCCTTCCACACCAGACCCTGTTCCACCAGACTCCTTAGCCTAGTCTACTAGTCTACTCTACTTGCCAGCTGATCAGTGGCAGATTTAGAGTTAGTGAGGCCCAGTGCTCAGCTTCCTTTTTGCCCCCCTCCTTCTATATTATAAGTAATAAGAAGTAAATGAAAATAAAGTGAGGTGCCTTGATTGTTTTTGTAGTCTAACTTTTTTTTCCACAGACCATTTGAAATTTGCTGAAGGTCTCGGGTGGACCACTTAATGATCTTTCCAAATATTGTTTGTACCATTCGCTAATTACTTCAAAGTGCTTTGTATAAGAGTGCTTTATTTAAAAAAAAGAAATCTCCGTGGCTGCAGAGGACAGCTTCAGGTGCCCCAGTGGCCCTGCATTGGCTGGCCTGAAGAAGTGGGCAGAGACCCACATGTGCTTTACCTAAAGGTGAGGGAGGCATAGTGCTATCAGTCATCTGAGTGCTGCCCCTCTCCCCGTCCTGGGCTCTCTATCCCCTGGCCACTCTCCCCCTTGCCTGCGGGCAGCCACCACTCACCAGGTGGCATCCAGCAGCACAAACACAGGCTGGAAGGCGTCAGAGATCACTGGGTAGATGCACAGCTGGCGGCCAGAGAGAAGCAGCGCTTTCCCACTTCAAAGCACTGCTTTTCTCTGGCCGGCTGTGTAGCTCTTCTGAAGCCTTCCAGCTCATGTTTGCACTGCTCACTACCTTCTGACAGCTCACCTGAGGCTGCAGTCTGCAGGTGGGCCTCCCTGCTCTCTTGCTCTCCCCCCCACCCAGCCCTTTCTGCAGAGGGACTGGCCCCCACTTCCCCACAGAGTGGCCACCCCCTGTGTGGGGGGGTGTTGGATCCGGTACTGGACTGCCCAGCCCAGGGGGGCTCTGTGTCATTGGGAGGGGGCATGCCAGGGTACGGTATGTTTCATTTAAATCCACCTCTGCAGCAGATGAGTCATTGAGAAAACAAGGAGAAGCACTGGACATTCCCTGCTTTTGATGGCTGGCTCCACCCAGCCCAGAGCTACCATTACAGGAAAAATGTCTTTGCCGTTGTAGACCTAAGGCTAGAGCAGGGATGGGCAAAATACAGCCTGTACAGATCCAGCCTGCCAAATATTTGAATGCAGCCTGATGCTACCCTGTCTTCTGTGGTCCCATACACTGCTCAAAGCATCCAGTTGCTGGGGCAAGCATGTGTATCTCTGTGTGGTGCATGCTGTTTGCGGAGAGGATTCTGTGTGCTGCCCCCACCTCCAGCACAATCCTCGTAGCGCCCATTAGCCAGAAATCAGCCAATGAAAGCTGCAGGCTCAGTGCTTGCAGGTACATGCAGCACATGGAGACCTGCTAGCCCCTTCTCCCAAGGGGCGCACTGCCCAGAGACACACACTGACCCCAGCAGCCAGCCACTTTGAATAGTGTGTGGGACCGCAGAAGGAAGGGAGCCTATCCAAGCATCCTGATGGGCTGCCGCCTGGCTCTGTCTCCAGTAAACACTTTCGATTCCTGGCCAGAGCCTGTATCTGATACCCTACTCCCTTCCACACTCCCAACCTCTTGCCCCAGGTAAAAACATCCTACTGCATCCAAGCTCCTTCACAAATACTGTGTTGTGCTTATTAGAAGCACACAGGATCTTTTTCAGGGGGAAGGCAATATGCCACATATATTGACAATACAACAAGAAAAGTAGCATATGCATCCACACACACAGGTCTAGCAGATGATACTAGTTACTAGTCTGTGGTAACTCAAATCAATCTAATGGCCAGTTAGATTGAACATGAGTGAGGAGCTGGGTTCTGTTGGTCATGATCCGAAGTGCCAAGGCAGGACAGAACCCAAAGTTAGGTGAGGGTTTATGGAGAACTTATCCTTACTTATGTTAATTGAAGGGTGAGTTCACAGTCATGAAGAGGTCTGTGATTCATCCAGTCATTAATCTCAGTTTAACAGTACAAGGCAGAAGAAGAGAAATGTTTTGGGGGGATGTCCTAGATTAGAACCCCTTGGTCAGATGACCCCAAATTTGGATGGCCTTGTGCTTCCATTAAGGATATCAAATTTAAAAGCAAATTTGAGTATCTGTTTGGATTTTAGAGCACGTAAAGAGTTGAGTTTAAAGTGCATAAAATGTCAGGGATGGAAACTCTTTAGCTATTTTTCTGTACTTTTGTGCATGGGCAGTGTAAAAATGTACATTTTCTTAAATACTGTTCTCAGTTTGGGTCCCCCAAAGAATTACTGTGTGCCATGCACTAGCTTGGGTAAAACTCAATATACTTGGACCATTTTCTCTTGCATCACATCAATAATACGATGTATATGAGTACAGAGGGGTGGACTAGACAATCTCTTGAGGTCCCTTCCAGTCCTAAGATTCTAGCTGGGGGGGGGGAGAGATTTAGGAGGGAAAGCTACCTAGAATCTCTTTTTAAAATGGCTATTTTCCGGGCTTATGCTTCCAGAAGCCAGGGCTCAAATTACATAGGGCAGTTTGTTGCAGTGAAAGACAATGCAGAGACTGCAGCAGCAGTGGCAGAGGCACCAGCCAGAGGTCAACAGTTTCTGTGACTGCTGTCAGTAGCAGAGGCATTGCTCAGTGCTTCCCTGACATTTTC